CCAACAGTCAAGCTCAAAGCTTGACTGTTGGGTTAATTGGCTTCTCGAAAAAAAAAAAAAAATAAAAAATACTCCAATTGTGAGTGTGTGTGTGCAAATGGTTGTTTGTCCTGTTTGTCTCTGTGTTCCCCTGCGATGGACTGGCGACCTGTCCAGGGTGTACCCCGCCTCTCGTTCATAGACAGCTGGTGATAGGAACCAGCACCCCTTGTGACCCCAGCAGGGATAAGCATGATGGAAAATGGATGGATGGATGTGCACAAGACACAATTACAAAAACTTTTGTGTTATTGTGATACAATCTGCAAATTCAAGAGATTTCTTATAATAAGTTGTGGATAAATTGATCTAAATTTAGAGAAACACTGAAAGACAGTTTCTATGTATTTTGGTCGGGTTTCTTTTTCCATTTATAGAAGTTTACCTTGTATTACAAGAATGTATCTGCAAAATCACTTCACTAAGACTGGCAGCTCTAAAGCTTTAACAAAAGCTGTCCCCCTTTAGCCAGAATTTTCCACTCTGCTACCAAGTGGGTCTGACATGTTCTTTTAAGTACCACTGATATTATCCACTTTTGTCATGCATATTTGTGGCTGCTAAGAAATGCTTGATCCAACATTTTCAAAAAAGTATGTAACAATCTTTTAGACAAAGAGTTGTTATTTTTCCAGATTCTGTCTGCATGTTATTGTTTACTTGTGACTCATTGAGGGTTTTTTTTTTTGTAAATTACGCTGATAAAGCCAATAAAACAGATGCTTTGTGTATGGTGTTTGCAACATGGGGTTGTTTGTGGGAGTATTTGATGTGGGAGTCTTTAAGGGCCCAGGAGGGAGTCTGGCTTTTGGAACTCTTGGTTTTTCACACAGAAAGCAGCTTCCTGCTTTTTAACAGGTTTCAGAATGTAGAGGAGTGCGCTCAGCAAATGTAAGATATTTGGGTGATTTTATCCATTTAAAATCTACCAACTCTGCTTATGCTTTCATTTAAAAAAAGCATAAATCTGAGGCTGCTGGCAAACAATATTTCTTTTCTAAAGTTATACACAAAATTCTGTATTAAGATTAACCTCACACAGACATACTCCCTTTCCTTATGTTTGTTTATTATGATAATTTTCTATTTACACATAATGAAAATGCAATTATTTAAGATTAGAATATCCCATTCCACCAATAATCTTTAATCCAAAAATGTCATCATATGTAAAAAAAAAAAAAAAAATGTTGTTTTATTTTTATCTTACAAATGAGCTTCTCCCAAAGACAGATTCTAATCCACTATGACTTTAATCACACAAGTTATCTTCAACTGTCAACAAAATTCACTTAAATATTTAGGAACTGACTCTCTCAGAAAATAGTTCAGAATGCCCTGCAGTTGGAGCCACTTGATGCTTTTTGCGATGCCTTGCTTCTACGGGCGGCTGAGTAAATACTGTATTTTTGATTGAATACAGTGTTCTTAACATTGTATTTATTAAAGATGTAGCAATTTAATGTTTTACTGATATAGAGTAATAATAAATCGCAAAGACTTCAAGTGATTTCTATGCCATTTGATCTGGACTCTTATTAATCTTACTATGTCAGGTATGACATTTAATGAAATTTAATTGTATATTTGGACTATCTAAGCAGCCTGGCTAAACAGTAAATAAATTTACAATGCTATATTGTGAGATTCATATATCCAATAAAATTTTTAACAGTAGTCAAAGTGTCTGTAAGTTGGAGCTTAGAGGACGTATCACAATTTTTTGGCAAAAAACAAAAATACTTGTTAAAGTTCTAAATCCTTTTTCATATGTTGATCTTCTAATTAAACATCTCCATATTTTACTGCAGCAAAAGTGTCTTTGTTTTATTTATAACCTTCGTACATTATGATTTTAGATTTATACGTTTCTTTGCGGCACGTCTTTGGTAAATGATATGCCACTCTCACGTGTGTAATATAACATCTCTTTGAAATTGCAGATGTACACACTCTACGTTACACACAGGCTAATGTCGTCAGAGAGTGATGGGGCACCATCCTGCACTCAGAAAAAAAGTTGTCTGTTCCATCTCAGGCATATAACAATAAGCCCAGGGCTGCATTCCAGTGGGCTTTCTCTTTGAAATGGGATACCGGCACACGCATTACAAATATATCTCCTGTTTTATCTTCCGGGCCAGGCCCATGGAAAAATTATTCCAAATACCTGCCGCGCTTTATCTGGAACCCTGGAATAGGTTAGGCCCAGGCGGGAACACGAGGATGTCTAAAATAAGGCCTCTATTACGGGATGGAGTGGAGATGGATGGGACGGAGCGGGAAGGGATTCGGATGGTGGGGGTATTTTAGGTGTATCAGCCCCCGTGAAAAAGGGCTTGTTGCGGGGGCTTTAAAGTCTACAATGTAGGCCGATGTCAGCTGTTGCACAAACTGCATGTGATGGGGGAGGGTTTAAGCTCAGACGGACGCTTATGTGGTCTCATACGTCCGTTGCTGAGTGGCGGTATAAATAACATTTTTCCTACAGATGTTCTCACCTTGATAAATCTGCTTGTGGCATGCGGTAGGACGGCCCAAACGAATGCCTATATTTACGTGCTTCGACCTCCGCATGTTCATGCTCAAAGTTTTCAAGAACAATATTTTATTTTAATATAATAACTGGCCCACACACAGTTTTTGTTGAAATTGTAAAGGTTTCACTTAAAATATTTTAGAGCACATTCTATATATTTTTTTTTTATATAAATAAAACCATTTAAAAACAATAAATAAATAAAAATAAATACAAAGTCACAGGGATATATTAGATGGGATTATTTGACTGTGGAACTTACCTGTCTGAAAAACACATAAAGAATTCTGCTGGTATAGTAGACCAAAGTAGGCTTTTAGTTGAGGCTGTTTTTACACATTTCCATTGCTATTGATTGTTGAATCTAACTTAGTTGATCTAATTAGCGATTAAAAGAGAAGGAGGATGTGGTAAATGATGAAGGATGAGAATAAGAAAAGCTTAGCAAGAGGTAAGATAACCAGGAGAAACAAGTGCAGATGCTATCAAGAGAGGTGGGACAAGCTGGTCTGAAAGGTGCTGAAAAAGCCTCGTTGAGAATTTCCTTTATCTCTATGATTCTCTTTGGTGAGACCCAACACGGATTCTGTCATCGTCACCTCTAGAGTCCTGCTGACATTTCCTTCATCATTCCAACGTGTCTAAGCACTTCAGACCAGACTTGCCCAAGAAACACTTGTCATCTGAATAGTTCCCATAGCAGAATGGAGTAGCGGCCAGAAGAATCAGCAAACTGGTGGTGCTCGCAATCTGTTAGAAAGAAGAAATTGTTGCACATGATCTCAAATGCTGAACTAATGAGAATATTTTTCTTGAATGCTCATTACAGAGAACTTTAAGCTGAACACGGAAACCTTGAAGATCATTGTGAATTATCACTGCTGCATCATTTGTATTTTTGGCCACTTTCTCGTTTGTGGCAGTAATATTCTTTGGACAGCGCCTCATACCTTTCTAAAGATATTAAGCTCTGGATGCGTATATCTGTGCAGCCAAACTAATGCTGTATTCTACATGTAGGGATGGGAGGTTATTTACGGATGGCATCATTTACTTTACATCCATATTAGTTTATGAATCATAATATAGAATACATTTGTGGGATAGTTTTAATTATTTTTAAGCCTCTATCATGCTTACAACCTTACCTACTAATTTACTGGGTTAAATATATATGAATGAAGCCAGAGATGATTTATCAGGTAAGAATCACCTGGGGATTTTTCCTGGTCAAGGCCTAGCTTCATACCTACTTATTAACTAAGGTTGCTCTAGTTTGAATAAAACAGTTTAAGGCACACATTTGAGTGTTTATGTTAGAGGTTTGCAGTGACGCATAGCTTAACACCAGTGCTGAAGTCCTACATGTTGCTTTTAACTCTTGTTCTTTGTTTTTCTTATCCATAAAAGTACTCCAGACTTACAGTCTATATTTAGCTGTTTCCTCCCCAAACAAAGCAATTGATGCTGCTATTTCTGATGATAATTTTGCTTTAGCTGTTTTTGCAGTATTTTTCAGGCCCATAGGAAGTATTTTTACCACAGTGCATCTGTCCAACCTGAAGCCAGAAACAATAATAGTAGTTAAAGACTAATAACAGTAGCCATACTGTTATGTTTTTTTTCTTTTTGTACTCTCATTCAGTCTTGTTTTGTATTTAATTGTCTAATACCGACACAAAAATATATTTTTTTTCCTTTTGATAGTTACTGGTTTATTTTGTGACCACACAAAAAGTGACTATTTTGCATTATTTTGATTAAATGTATCTGTATTTATTTGATCTCATTAAACTGCTTTGATTTAAAGTTGAAAAGGACATTGTAGGATTTTTCATGTGTAACAAAAATTTTGCCCTTGTGTAAAGCTGTATATGAAAAGAACCTGTTTGTGTTATAAAATGCCCTCTGATAACATTTATGTGTATTTAGTTAAATAGTATTAGGACTCTCATAAAGTCATTATAACAACTGCAATAAATAAACACATATTTAAAATCGTCCTACTGGTATGATTTTGTAGAAAATATAGATTTAGAAAATGTGTAGTTTACCCAGCGAGATTACCATAGCAGTGCACTTGATAGTAATTGTATTGCCCAACCATTTTAAAATAAATAGAACTGGTTTGGACTAAAATAGTGAAGAGTTCAAGATTGTTTTCCTTTTTAATCATTTAAGAGCAAAATTGCTTGAGTTTATATTTTAAATCTTACTGTTTGATTATACAATTTAACCAGCCTAATTGAATTTATTAAAATCTTTCACAGAAGTAAAGACATAATTTTTTTTCTAAAAAGGAAAGTAATACTATAACCAATTTGAAAATGACCTTCCCTTTGTCATGCCACAATGCACAGGGACCAGATTCTTCTCTTTTTACCCATCTCATGTGTTTCCCACTTGTCCATCTTTCCCCCAGGGCTGACTCTGTCAAGGTGACGCAGCCCATGAGCGGGAACCAGTACCACCAGCCGGCATCGGCTCGCAAGTCAGCCAGCTTGTCCTCACCAAGCGCAGCTCGCCGACTCTACCGCAACTTGTCTGGAAAGTTCCGCGTGGGCACCAACCCTCCCGCTCTGGAGGACAACGTGGTGTCAGGGCGGGTAGGGGACAAGGAGAGGCTGCGTAAAACCACCGTAGTAAGTCACAGAAGAAAAAACAAAAACAACAATATTGTAGTCTAAAAATGGTCATGGAGAGTTCCTAGAGCAGACATAGCCTGGGAACCTGCTAACTACAGCCATGCATGGCAGAAATCATGCAGGGAGAAAACCCTGATGACTATGTTAAGTGTAAGTTTGGCTGAAATGTCCCAAAATATCCGGACTTCTTTGTGTATCAGTTTCAGAGCAATGAGGCTTTGTTTGAGGCGGTGGAACATCAAGAACTGGACCTTGTCCAGCTGCTTCTGTCCCAGTACAGTCTGGAGGAGCTGGACCTGAACACTCCAAACAGTGAAGGTCTCCTTCCTCTTGATATTGCCATAATGACCAACAACGTGCCCATGGCTAAGCTTCTGCTGCGAGCTGGTGCCAAGGAGAGCCCCCACTGTGAGTACAGAGTATTTTTAACTTGTTGAACCTCAAGGAGGTAACAGTGAAGTAAAAAAAACGAACAAAAATACAGATTCTAAGATTAACCCCGCAGCCACATCCACAAAGTTCTATCCCTAACCATTTTTTAAACCTATCTGGTATCATTATGAGTTAGCTTTAAAGAAACATAGATGCTAGTAGATTATGTTCAATATGTGAGTCCCAAAAATAAATTTATTGGGCAGCTGAGAGAGCTATATCAAGACCCGTCAATGGAGACAGGTAGGAGAAAAAATAGTGTTTGAAAAATGTGCACAAGCAACAGGGATTAGATCACATCTTAACAAAATACCAAATTAAAAAGCTATTACCTGCCCTAATGACAAAAAGGAGTGGAGTTTAGTTAATAAAAGTCTGTTTTTCATATGCAGTTTAATTAGGATCCAAGAGTCTGAATGAAGTTGAGAGGCAGACTGATTAAGGTCAGATTCAAAGTTTTTAAACACAGTAATTCAATCTCTGTTTGGACACAGGTGAAAAAATGTAAGTAGACTGATTAAATTGATAATATGTAACTTTTAAGCCTTTGCTGCAAAGGAGGATTCATCATTACTCAGCTGAGAAAATCACAGATTCCTTCAATAAAAACCTGCTCTAAATATAAAAACGTAATTTGAAATCTTTATTTTTTATATTTCAGGTTAAAGTTGACCTACTTGACCAGAATAAGCTTAGTCATATCCCAAAGATTACATATAATACTGTTAAGCCTTAAATGATTTAAATATAAAGTGGTCTTTTCATTCTTCTAGTGTGTTTTTTGTCTTCTGACTGGAATATTTTCTACTATTTTGGAGTGGCCTGTCAGAGTCCTTTAAAATACAACTTAAAACTGATTCTTTTTTCAAATGACATTGTTTCATTATCTGTCTGCATGTCTCATTTCCTATTAGAAACAAACCTGCTGGGGTTATGAATAACTGTGCGCCTCCTTTTCCCCTCTTTATGTACAGGAACTTATTTCTTTAATGTGTAAAACACGTGAAAGGTGCTAAAGGGGTGCTAATCATGACGCAATATTAGTCATCTTTATAAGCACTTTTCATTTTCTGTGATCTGCAAGCCTCCGCTCCCTTCTCCCTTCCTCTGTTAATGATTAGAACTCGCCAGTAAGGCTCCAAGGCTGTTTGTGTTTTTACTCATGTGCGCCCCCCCACACCACACACACACACGCACACATATTTTCAAGAGCTGAGCCAGACATCTTATAAAGGTATCATGAAATTGGAAACACTTGAATGGAAAATGGTGATTGCTAAAGTCTGAGTCTTTGATAGTGTTCTCTATCAGAACACAAATAGTTTTGTTTAATAGTTTGTGGAGGATCGCAAGACCAGACAAGGACAATCAAATAAACCCTTTTAAGCGGTTACAACTTCACATTCTATGTTTTTTGTGGCCCCCAGTAAAACAAAGCCTCTTCATTTCATTTTTCCTATTTAAAAATCAATGATGTAGTGCTGTCTTTTAAAATTATTTGCACCCCATTGACATTTTTTACATTTTGCAACAGCACAACCAAAGATTTGTTGTTCATAATAGTGAAGGAGAGGCATACAAAGTTTTGATATATATATATATACTTTATAATATCTGTATATATTTTTCTTTTCACATTGAGATCTGAAATGTATGGCATTGTTTTGATTTCATTCCCCTTTACTCCTTTATCTCCTTGAATAAAAATCCATCCATCCATCCATTTTCTGATACGTTTTATCCCGAGTGGGGTGCTGAGGTGTGCTGGTGCCTATCTCCAGCTGTTTACGGGCGAGAGACGGGGTACACCCTGGACAGCTCTCCAGTCCATCACAGAATTAAAATAGAAATGTGAATAAAAATCCACATGTTTGTAATCAGTCTGCAGCTGTTTACAGGATCATTAAGGTAAGGGAGAAAGTTGTGGGGAACCTTTAAGCAGAGTTAGGTTCTAAAACTAAGCTTCTGACATCTCACAGAGCTCTGTTTAATTCATCATCCATTATTGAAGATGATATTGCATGATTTCAAAGTTGCAGAACAGTAGTTTTCACTGACTGATGGGCAAGGAGAGCATCAATCAAAGAGGCAGTCAGAGATCTTTTATTACTTTGCAGAAACTGCAGCATTTTGCATCTCAGGTTGGAGAATCTGTTGAGAGGACATCCATTAGTTATACTGTACGCACAATCATTTTATAGAAAATTAGATGAAAAAAGTTTCCATTTGTGGTTTGCCACCAGCCACACGGGGAGTGTGTCAGACATGTGGAAAAAGGTGCTGGAGGTCAAATGACATCATAACTGAACTTTGCGGCCCACATTAAAACCTTATATGTGGTGGAAGACTAGCACTTCACATGAACCTGTAACAAATAGTTAAACATGTTGATGGCTGCGTTAAACTGTGGGGGTGTTTTTCTTTAGCAGATACAGAGAATCTGGAGGGTTCCTACTAAGGCTGGGCGATATGGCTTAAGTAGGGTGACCAAACGTCCGTATTTCCCGGGACATAT